GGATGTATAGCTGAGAGAACTTTAAGCCAGAACTTACAGGCTTTCACCTCTGAGACTGCCAGTCAGTTCCAGGTGACAGTGATGCCGTCGGGAGGCGGCTGCAGAGCTGGGCGCGCAGGATGACGAACAGGGCGGGAGACCAACTGTCAGTGGACGTGGCTGGATAATGAAGGTGGTCTGGCTGAAAGTCAGAAACTTCAAAGGAGGTTAAATTATGAAAGAAGGAAGTAAATGAGTTTTTGCTAACATGTAGATTGGAGTCTGTAGAATACTTTTATGTCTAGCTTCAAGACTGTAGACATGGGAAAGTGAGCACTGAGCACACAGTCTGAAAGGAAGAATGCTGGGTCACTTAAGATGAGGAGTGGGCGGTGGTATTCTAGAAAAAACATTGAGACAGAGTATGTGGAAATTTCTTGGCAATTGAATGGTTCCAGAAAACAGATTCGAAAAGGCAGGGGAAGTATATGATATAGCCTGTTTTCTTGACAAGACACGTCTTTAACGGGGAACAAGAAAGAAGCAGTACATTAAATGCACACATCGCAGTGGTTTGTCCCTATTGCAGAATGCCAAAATGGGAAAGAACGCGTGTCCAACGTGAGGACACAGAGGCACAGGGGCCGTGGATTCTGACCTTAAAGGAGGTTGTGAGCTGATTAAGGCAGGGACCAGAAAGACAATTTGGAAGCCTGTGGTGAAGGGGATGAGGCCCCTAGGGGTGGACCAAAGGTTTATTGGGTGGATTACAATGCAAAACTCCCAACAGAACTGAAAGCAAAGACTGCTAAGTAGAGTTTACAGTTCATCGTTCAGAGTACAGGAAGGAAGAAGGGTAAGCAGGAAGAGAGCAGGTGTTAAAGAGCTGTGTATTGTGTCTAAGATTAGGAGACAAGAACTTGGGCTATTCAGGAGGCTGTTATTTTAGGTCATCTACCTGTGGGCTCCCTTTTGCACAAATGTCTTAAGGGCTATTTTAGCACCTGGTGGAGTCAAGGAGTGGAAATGCAGGCATGAAGGAAGTAGAGAAGTGAGAGACAGGATTGGACACGGCCAGCTTTGCCATTCTCATTCATTCATTCGTTCATTGTCCAGCCATTGCTCTTGGCACTGGGGATGTGTGACTTAAAACTACCCTACCCTGTCCTGGCTGGTGTGGCTCAGTGGGTTGAGTGGCGGCCTGTGAACCAAGAGTCAGTCAGGGCACATGTCTGGGTTGTGGGCCAGGTCCCTAGTAGGGGGTGCGTGAGAGGCAACCATGCATTGACGGTTCTCTTCCTCTCTTTCTCCTTCCCTTCCCCCTCTCTGAAAATAAATTTAAAAAATCTTTAAAAAAAAACAAAACTACCTTATGTTATCTGTTTAGAATACTGGAATTTTGTTATTTCAAGAATAGTTGAATAGGAAGTTAGTTGTGTAAGCAGAGCTTATAAAATTTCATAAGTAGAGAAGCCTAAGTAAAGCATTGGAAACGGGCAGTTAATAGTGTTGGCTTCATAGGGGGCAGTAGGGGACTGGAAGCACCATGGCTCATTGTGACTGGTCAGCCTGAGAGAACGTAGCATCTTATCACAAAAAATGCTTTCTGACTTCAGAGAGGAATTCACCTGAAGAAATATTTCTAGAGGAAAATCACGTCTTTCTCTGACACTGTCTCAGGTCTTTGGACTGTGTACAATGGAAACCCCTCGGACAAACCAGTGACAAAAAGCCCAAGTATCCAGAATTAAGCTTTAGATACCAAAAAATAGATATAGGCCCCTGAGTGGTCATTTAAAACTGTTAATTTATAGAGAAACAGCTTTCTGCCTAGAGAACCTGTGCCTTAAATTATACTTGAAATGTAAGAAAAGAAATGTAAATACGGCTTTTTCATATGTATTGAATATTTATTTTAAGAATTATATTTTGATAGAAAAATACTATCCTGAATCTGGTCATGTGACACATCCCTACCACCATGAGCCTGTGGCTTGGGTTCACACGTACCTAGCAGACTCCAGGCCCACGTAGGTCCCACTTCCCAATGTGGGAGGAGTTGTTGCACGTCTTGCAAATTCAGCATTAGACTTACATTCTTGTATGCATAATATTATTTGTACATCTATACATAGAGAGCCATATTACGTGGTACTTGCAGCTACTTTAATATTCTTTAATGACAATATATAATTAATATACTTCTAAAAAATTCAGCATTAGGAAATTAGAGCAAATGTCCTGCCCATCCAATGGTGCAACTAAGTTAGTTATTCTTGCACATAACAGTTGTTTGGCTCCCAGGTGTTGTTGCCAAGACTGACAGGTAGCCTACCGGTGACCTTCATTCCTCCACTTTCCCCTCTAGCTAACTGGCAGCCCCTCCGTTCTTCGGGCTCCCAATTCTCCAGGTCTTCCCTTTGTAACCCTAGTCCTGCCTTCCAAATAGTGAGTCAGGATTTGATAAATTACATTATTTACATTTATGTGCTGATTGATTACACTGCTGGGTAAATGGATTTCAGCCAATATACTTTTCGACCTTTTAGTCTCTGCTTGAGGAAGGAGTGCCCCTGTTCTCACTGGAAAACCTCAGATTTAGGGTAGGCAGCGTGAAGGCTGAAGTTCCCTGTGGAGCTCTGGGTCCTTGCTCTTCAGTTGTCCTTGGGATCTTAGCCAGTTGCAGTAAAGGGGGCTGGCCTGGCTGATTGCTTGCTTCTTGGACGTAAAGAAGGCTGTGCGCTCTCTGGGCTTTAAACACTGGAATGCACTGGAAGGCTTTCTGGAGTGAAACCTGAAGAGGAAGCCCCACATGTAAAGGAGGTGAAGATGGCCTTTAGCAGGTGCAGTGTTAGGGGGTACCCCAAGTCCTCCTCCTCTGGATCCCAGGCTCACCTTGAGAGATTCTCTCTACTGGGGGCAGTTTGAGAAACACATCAGAACTAGTTTATCTACCTCTTCCTGGCATATAATAATATGCTCTTTCCCTTCTGTTTCAATGGACAGGATCTTCACCTTAACACCACCCCATTCCACTCCCACTAACTAGTGTTTATTCTTTCTTCTCTCACTCTGGTCACACTTTTACCGTTCCCAGCTCCAGCAGTGCCTGTCCTGAAGCCCTGTTCCCCCCTCCAGTAAAAAAATACAGTGCTGTTGCCACTGGGTCATCTTGGGCCTTCAGCCAGCAAGCTATTAGGATTTCAGAGCAAAGAACAACATGCACATAGGAAAGCTGCGAAGGGACCCTGAGGAATGTGGGTGGAGGGACAGTCAGGAGCACATGATGGGCACGGGAGGCCCTGTTCATTGAGGAGAAAGATGTAAGGCCTGCCTCTTAATTTGCCAGCACATGTGTGTTCAAGATGAAAATTAAACTGCAAATGATACTGGAGAAAGTCCTAACAATAATGATGATTACAGTTGTTGAAGCAATAAAGCTGGGGAAAAGGCAAAAAAATTGGTTTAACAGTGCATAAAGAATACTGACTTCAGTTACTTACATGAACTGCTTATTATTTAGCCTAATTACTATCATTTTAGCGATCATGCATGCCATTAAATGCATCAGATTTATTTGTGTATTTCATTTGATAACAGTGCTAGATTTTGTTTTTGTCAGCTGAGTCATGATAGTCTGTACGTACATTGACTGATCGTGACTCTTACAAATCCTACATTTCACTTATGCTTCTATGCAAGTTCATAGGTAAATCTGATCTAAGATTACCTACTTTGCATATCTTGTCACACTAAAGGGCGAGCATTTGGGTATAAGAGACCACAAACACTGTCAACAGAACAAGTAAACAGAAAATTGCAAATTTTTTCCTAGCTTACTCTGTGAAACATAGGCATTTGCATTTTAAAATACTTTTTTTTAGCATGCCTCAGTGCTTAGTGGAAGCTACTGATGGAGAGCCGGATGGGAAGAGAGGCAGCTGTGGACGCCTTATAGAATCTAGAATAGCAGAAGCCAGCAAAGGGGCTCCCTCGAGAGGAACTGAATGTTTTATATTGTGAAATCATGACCACTGAGGCTCAGCAGACTTGAAATGGGAAACTTCAACATTTGTTGATTTCTATTTTATGAGATGAAGAGTCTAGGAAGAACTTAGTTCTGTTGTTCATTTTGTTTTAATTAAGTTAATGGAAATGATTTCCTAGCCAGGATTCATTCCTATTTCAATGGTATGCATTAGAAAATCTATTAATTAAAAACACCTTCAGTAATACCATAGCCTTATTTGTTAATTTGTAGAGTGAGTGCCTAATAGGCCAGGAATATTTTAGAAGTCCATGTTTTTTCAGTTTTGTATATCAAGGGGATATGTGGTGGGTGCTCAAAATAAATTGCAGAATTGTGTTTGCAGATTTTCTCTCTTAAGAAGGGTAGATGACAATAATAGTAGCTGACGTTTATTGAATGTGTGCACCTTTGTGCTGACACTACTGGATCCTTCACGCACGCTATTTCATCTAATGGATGCCACCACTTTGGGGGCAGGTGTTACCATTGCCTTTTACTGATGGGAAAACTGAGGCACACAGAAGTTAAATCATTTCCCCCACAGACAGAAGCTAGGATTCAGCTCCTGGTCAATCTTACTGCTTAATTAACTCTTTTGTAACTGCTATCATGTCCTTTATATTGACTATGTTGAAATTAAAAAATAACTTTTAAATACCTAAATAGTTAAATTGCAATGATGTGCTAAGTTGTAATGACATGCAAACATTTCCCCAAGAACAATAAAATATTCATTACTCAAAACCAAAAAGTTTAAACCATTTGATATTTTTTCTGATTTAAGAAAAATAGTAATAGCGTGACCATATAATTTATCATCCAAACTCAAATTGAAAGGTGGTGATATTAATAATTATGTGCTGATAACAGAAATAAACCATGTTATTTTGGCACTAAGTTATGCCAGTTACCTTACTGACTGTTTGCTTGTCTGTCTTCATCTTTAAGGCAAAAAATATTAAAACAGTTCTTCATGCTCTTGACTTCCTAGGAGGATTCCTCAATGTCAATGTAAGTGAAGTCAGTTTTGATGAAATTCATCAACTCTTCTCCAAGGATTTAGATATTGAGCCAGGGGGTCACTGGAGACCTAAAGACTGTAAACCCAGATGGAAGGTGAGGTGAATTTTTGCATAATGTGATGTTACTGTGCATTTGAGGAAAAGTATGATTGATTGAGAATTAGTGAAATGCCTTTAAGTCATGATAAATTTAAGGCATCAAAATTTTTAGATTTAATGTACAGATATTTACACTTCAAATGTGATTTAATAGTATTTCTTATGAAGACTGAAACTGAACCTATGCATATACGAAATATATGCTCATGTGTTATTGCCAGTCTTAGAGGTCCTGGTAACAGTTTCTTCAGTTCTATTCTGTTTGAAAGAGCGACTGCGATTTCTCTGCACCCTGCAACTGTCCCTAATGATTACTGATACTTGCAGGCGTAGCCCCACCAAGTCTTGGAGCCAGTGAAAGCTCGTGGCGAGGATATTAATGTCCTGATTCCCAGTTGGGTCTAGTGTTGTGGTTTTCAGACTCTGTTCCTTGCGTCCCAGAATTCAAAGAGGCCACTCAGAGGTTTCTGCGAGACAAAAAGAACTTTGGGCTCTTCGCCTCAGTTTCAGAAGGCAGAGCACAGACTTTTTATTTTTGTTATGTCAGAATTCTACTTACCATTTTATTTGAAAAACTGTATGGGAGAAGGCCTGCCTCTGCTGCTTAAAAATAATTGAAAACCATGGCTTAGACTTGACATGCTCTCAATACTATGAAATTGGTTAAGTGCTTATTCATGTGATGTTTTTATAGTTCAGTAGGAAATAACTGACATCATTTTAGTGAAAATTACATATGATTAAATCAAACGTTATGTCCTAAAGGACTGTGATGTAAATTTAATCTGGGAATGGTTTTTAATTTCTCTTTTAAAGTCTTAGTATTCTGCTGAAATATTTGTGGCTTTTTTGTTTTGTTTTTGTTTTTGTTTTTAGTACAAGAGAAATCACTGTTGGGAAGGAGAATTCTATGCTGTTAAGCTTACAATAAAATCCTCTACATAGCTGACCTTGAGCTCTTTGTGTTTGGGGACGTGTACTATTTATATCTGCACTCCTAGCACGGAGCCTGATGTTACATACAGGGGTGGGCCAAAGGAGGTTTATAGTTGTGCCTCCGCGAAACAGAGTTTATTCTTGTATTATTATTTATAAGTTATTGTATTATAAATCTACTTTTTCCCACCCTGCAGAAGGTAAGCACTAAACCCAGTTTTGTTGAGTTGAGTTTATGACAAATAAATGCCCTGTTAAGTTGTAAAGCTGCTTAAATGAATTCCCATACAAATTTGGGGGAAACGTTTTATTTTACAATTGTCTTATGCTATTTTCCAGATCAGATTCGGCCAATAAGTGAATCTTTTCATATTTAATGATTGAACTTTCTCACGTTTGTATATGTAATGTAGGCCACTTTATATAATTACACTTTTAAAAATGTCCTGGCCAAAGAAATTATTTTTCTTACTTGGGTGACGAGCAGTGCGTCGGATGCTGACGGAAGAAAAGCATGCTCAGCCGCCAAGGTGGTGGGTTAGCACGGAGGTCGGTCCCCAGGCCTGTACTCACGTTGGGTCCTATGTACGTAACTCTCAGATGTGCACTGTGTGGCACTGTAGTAGAAGAATTTGGAATTAGAAAAATTAAGTATTCTTTTCCTTTCTCCAGTGCTCTGTATCAGACATTGGATTTAAAAATTCATGGTTTGTTTTTTTCTCATTTTCCAGTGGACAGGTAGGTATATCACACGTAAGTAGTTCTGACTGAGAGGTTTTTAGACGACTGTCAGCTCCCTGTGAGCCAGTGGACAACAGTATTGAAAGTGGGGTTCCCAGGTACAAGCTAATTCAGGGATCTAAACATTAGCTTATTTTCTTTAGGAGCTATATGGTAATGCTTCTTTTATTTCATCTTTGCAAAAATTCCACTGAGAACACAGTCTCTACTTCTGAGCTATGCAATTAAAGGTGTGAGAAGAAGTCCAGAGACCATTCGGAGGTCACCTCTCCTTGCTGTACTAATTAATTAAATAACTCCCCCTCCTCCCCTGCCTGTTTCCATTCTGATTGAGTCCCATTCTAATCTTGGAATAGAGTTTAGAGGAAGGGAAGATGAAATAATTAGATTTATGTTAAAACATCTGCTACCAACTTGATTTTAACATTTGAGGTTTTTAAAAATGTTTTTTTAAATTAATACATTGATGGCTAGTTAATTTGAACTGAGATCTAAAACCAGTGATTTCAGCAGTTCCTGTGTATTTCTGAACACTTCAGGTTCGAGTAGAAGATTCAGTACAGGTTGGATGCTTATTTCTAAAGGAAATAGAAGATGGAAGTCTGTACCTGTGACATTGCCTTCCCATGCAGGGTTCAGGTAGAGGCCTGAACTACTTTGGTCCCAAACTTAAAGGCTTAAAGAGCCAGGCAGCTGTTTGATGCTGTTATCTACTCAGAGGCCTGGAGTTCCATTTCTAGTCCAAAGTTCCTCAAACGGGTCTTAGCCACCTGTCGCAAAACTACCTGGGGTGCTTGGCAAAAATGAAGATTGTGGAACTCATTCTGAGTCCATTGGTGGGAAGAGACAGGAACTTGGGTCATTATTATTATTATTTTTATCAAGTGCCTCATGTATGAGAAACTGGAGATGAGAACAAAGAGGAAGGTGGACCTGAAAATGCCACCGGAGGAGAGCTTGGTGGCTTCTGCTTCATTTCGTCTTAGGGGCAGATGGCTAGCGTACCAGTACAGTAGGGTGTCCTGCAGCCAGGTCATTTGGGACACTATAGCTGGGGGTGTGCTTGAAGTTTAAAAGTAGGACAGAAACTTGGTGGGTGAAACTTAGGTAGTAAACACCATCTTCCCTACTAATCTCTTCATTGTGAGGACAGGAGAAAATAAGCAGGATGAAAAATAGGTGCATAAACTCAGTAAGGTTAGTGGTTTTCATGTGGGAGCAGACTGGATGGGCTCATTTTGCTTGAACAGAGGAGGTGAGGAGAGATTCATGAGGATGAAGTGTCGTTTTTCAGAAGACAATGACCAGATGTTCTCTGCTGCCATTGGAGATGCATCAGCAGGAGAGAGCTCAAACAGCAAATTAGCGCACATGTAAGACGGAGTGTCCCGAAAAAGAGGCTATTAAACCTTGAAATAAATTATAACAGAACACTGAGATCTTTTTCCAGACAATAAATTGTAAACTATTGAGAATGTCATCCACAGCCACAAGAAGGGACATGCTGAGTGAAATTTTAAGATATTATTTAGCTTTATTTAAATAAAAACTTTGCTTTAGGCATACCATTTAAAATTTTTGATAACTGCCTCATTAAAATGTGGACATTTACTTCCTAGTAAGACAGTAGTTTTGCTTATTTGAATTTCCCAAGGTATTGGTGATTTTTTTCTCTTATGACATTCTCAGTTTCTTTGTAAGAATAAAAAGAAAAACAACTCTTGATATTTTAAATGCTTAATTGAAGAAATGGCTATGTTAAGGCCTATGACTTTGCCTTTGTTTATTTTTATATGTTTAACTCATTGCTCAGCCTAATTGTATAAATAATATGGATCCTGGAGCTATTGAATAGCCTCTTGCTTTAAAGCCTTAATTCACCTTAATTGCTTTAATAACCCATTTACGTTATGTCTGAACCAGGCAACTTGTGGCCAGTTCAGAACAGGGAAGGGCAAGCTTGACCCTTATTTCAGTAGAAGTTACCACACTGATACACTTCAGATAAGGTCAATGGGAGGACCTGTATACTCACTCTCTAATTCCTTTCTCTTCCTTTACTTTTCATAGCCTAAGACTTAATCCAGGGTCCCTGAGCTAGTCTGGGAGCTGTATTGATTTGGAAGTTCCTTGAATACACTAATAATTGATACTGAAGCCCATCAGCAAGTTCCCAATCAGCAGGGAATGCCCAGCCCCCACAGGAGCCCTCGTGTGGGGGTGTGGAAGGGACTGTCGGAGGGGGGCTGCTCTGGCAGCTTTGTGGTGTCCGGTTCATAAGCCAGGAGGTACCTTAGGGGGCAAACTGAAAGGGAATGGGGCCCAGAGTGGGGCTGGCAGGGGTCCCAGCACCTCTCTAGTTCCCACCATTCCCACCACTTAACGAATATAGAACAAAGTCATCACGAAAATATCAGTCTCAGAGTGCCATTTTTCTGCAGTCCCATCGGCTTTAAGGGAAAGTTAGTGGTGGAGTTTCTGGTTTAGACATCTTTAGTTTTACTAAGTCATCTTTTGTTTGCTGTAAATAAAACTATTTTAAGTATCGAAAAATTTCTCTCATTTATGATCTTGGTAATATAAAATACACAGGTAGATGTTACTATTTTTTTATTGTCTATGTTTAATGCCATGTCCTGATTCTACAGGTAGGATTAGATCCTAAATGTGTGCGCTCCCAATTATTTACATTTATTCATTCATTAGTCAAATTTACTTGGCAGATGTGAAATTTTAATAAATTCCAGGTTTAATGTTCTTAAATAATCTTTTGTAATAACCAATTTAGATTGCATTTAAAAATCCAGAAGGTAGAGTAACACAGAAATCTTAATCAGATATATTTTGATTCTTATGTTTTTTGAAAATCCAATGATTTTGGAATTTATAATGTGTAGAAAACTTATTTCAATTTTTGTTTTTTTATTAGAAAATTCACAATTATACTAAAGCCAACTTAGGCAAAAATTGGTAAGAAGGTAATACTTAGAAAATATTTTAGCTATTTCAAGGGCAAACTGAATTATAGGGTGACTTGGCTTATAGGACAGTTTAAATTTAGAAAATAGAGGATTTGAGTGAAGTGATGATTGATAATTATTCATTTATTCTCATGTTATAGTAACACATTTTATATAGATGATGTTTTCTAGTCTTGATTTTGATAGTTCCAAGAAATGTTTTTCTATTAGAAAAAAGATTGCTCTACTGAGAAACCATTCTAATTCCCATATACATTGGTTGTTTTTTTTTTTGGCGGGGATTATACATGAACAGTTTTTTTCTTCTGTGATTTATCAAGAACAAATTTCTCTGTTTTCTGTGCTACTTGCATCATCTTTTTTGCTAAGCTCAATATTTTTAACATAATTTTATTTTAACCTGAATATTTTCCTACACTGAAATAAACATAAAATGTAGCAAAAATTTAATTGTGCATTTTGATTAAATGAAAAATACTACATTAATATAATGATAAAACTTCATGTATACTCCATGACATGTCTGTTATATTTCTTAAAAATATCTCTGGGCCAGATAAGCCATGGGTAGGATAATAGATACTTAACCAGTATCTCTTTAACACCATAAAGTTATTTATGATCTACTTTAAAACCTAGAAGTTACTCTTGACACATCACTCCCCCTCACTTCTCATATCTTATCTATAAACAAATCCTGTCTACCTTTTCAATGTTTCAAAACAACATTCGCCTCTCCTCTTCTTCAGCCTCACCTCAGTTTAAGCTATCATCACCTCTTGTCTCAACTATTTCATTAATTTCGAACCATCTCCCTGAATCCATTTTTGGCTTTCTACAGTCAGCTCTCCATAGTACTCTCTGCCATGACTGCATCTGATTTTGTCATTTTTCAGTCTTTCCATGACTTGTCATGGTTTTCATAGAATAAAGATCATAATCCTTAGAGTGGCCCTCAGAGCCCGTTTATACCTCTATAGGTTCACAAGACCCTGAGTGGCTCAAAAGCAAGGGCCACATCTGTGTCTGCTCACTGGTAGGTCTCTGGTGAGAAAATTCATAAGGGTATGTTTTTAAAGCAATTATAAATTTTTAAGAACTCATATTCATCTTTATCTCTCTGGCTGGTCGCATGGTATTTACATATGTTACTGTTTTCCTTTAAAGGTGGCAGTTCTCATTCCTTTCCGTAATCGCCATGAACATCTTCCAATTTTTTTCTTGCATCTGATTCCAATGCTCCAGAAACAGCGGCTGGAATTCGCCTTTTATGTTATTGAACAGGTGAGAATATTTTTCAAAATCATAACCAAGTGTACTACAATGGGATACACTGTTAGATATGGTTTGATTAAAAATATTTAGCTTAAATTTAATCAGGTAACTCATATCCTTGGTTTTATATCTGGATAAAATTGAATTTTTGATTGAGCTTTTATGGTATAGACCACATTTCGTTAATCCATTTGTCAGATGATGTGCTACTATCATTTTTAATCATCTTGTATCTTACCTATTTAAGTAAAAATTTTTTCTCTATTTGTGTGATCAGCTAATTTTTTTTTTTGTCTAAGTATTTTTATTGTCTCAGTATCTCATATGCACAACTTCGTTGTCTTATTTAAACCCTTTGGAGATATTTTCCATACTTCCATTTTTTTTCACCTCTATGATTACCTAGTTTTATATTTAAAATGTCATCTTTGATTGCTGTCTTTCCCCCACCCTAGCTCCCAAACATTAGGGCACTTGCTAAATTTTGTCACTGATTTCTATATAGCTTTCTAAAACTGTACATTTTGTTCGTGTTGCAAATACCTATAATTTGGGTACTTCTGGTTTTGACATTGAAGAACTCGTTTTATCCTGATGTTTCCTTTTTTTTTACTCACACTAAATTTGACTTAAAATGTATTTCCTTCTGTCTCAGTAGACAGAAAGTGACCTATTCTTTATATTATTAGATGCTGTTTTTTTTTGGATGTAGAAAATATTCAAATTTTATTTCTAAGATTGTGATATTTCGTGTGTTCTGCCAGCTCCTGTGTGGGTTATTCTAGGGAATCCTTTATTCTGTTTTTTAAAAAAGAAATTTCTTGCTCTTAGCTTCTTGCCTCTATTTATTCCCCTGGAAATACTTGGATTTTAATACAATTTACTGGTATACTTCTCTGCATGCAGAGCACCCTTTAAGGTTTGTTCCCTGTACATATAATGATCATATAGTACAGAGTGTGTATGTACTTTTTATGTAACAACCTACACTATGAAAATTGACTTTTTAAAACCTGATAACACATAAAAAAAAATTAGCTACTTTAATGATAGCCATAGTTGTAAACTTCTAGGTCAGTTTACTAACTGCTAGTTTCCTTTTTTAAAACTTCAGTCTTCATAATGTGTGGGGAGATGAGCTCTGTGCCTCTGTGTTTTTAAAGGCGGACTCTCCTGAGAGTCCAGCGTCATTGAATTATTTTGTGTATGCGATGAAGAAATCTGTGCAGAACAGCTGAGATTCATATTTTATAAACCTCTTAAGTCAGAATGCCAGCCTCAATCAATATTAATTCAGGCCGGTGTATTCGGCAGTGCGTAGTTTTGAGCAGTAACATCTTTACCACATATGAAAGAGAAGAGCAATTTTTCTGTTGGACTGGTGCCCAGAAGTGCTGAGCAATTGAAAGCAGCTCAGAACTCCTAGTTAAATGTGGAAGATTGTACATACATTTGCCTTTTCTCCTTTCTAAACTCCTAAAATGAGAATGAAAGAAAAACTTTTAAAAAGTTATTTAACCACAAGGACAAAGAGATGGAAGTAGTTGGGAGATTTCAACACATTTTCGGAAGTCAGGAAGCAGATGGACCACTGGCAACTCCCTTTGCAGAGCAGAGGCTGTTCAGACCCATGTGCTTGGCAAGGACGATTGTGACAAGAACTGAATCAATTTTCTGGGCAAACCCCTGTCAGTCTTGACACTTGAAAGGTGTCACAGAAAATGGACTCAAGCATTGGGCTGAAGTAAGGGGATTATCTGAAAGTTGGATTACAAAACAATCAAATCTCTAGTTCCTCATTTTTGCTTGTGTTGCCAGGTGATTACTCTGTCGTATCTTGTGGAACAGTTTGTTCGCTGGAGAAATGTGCTCACTGCTGACAGAGCTGTCCTGGGAGGCCTCTGAACGGAGGGGTTAAATAAACCTGCATGCAGACCCTGGGACCCTCAGGCTTTTCCCTGTTCAGCTTTTTAAAGCCAGCAGTTAGGCCTGAGTGTCCCCACCTCTCCAGCTGAGGCAAGGCCTGAGTGACGTCTTCATTAGTGAAATAGATTAGCCCCAGGAAAAGAGGCCCAACCTTGTATTTGGAAGTTTCTCTAGGAAAAGGCCAGTTTATCACTTTAGCACCTGAACGAAGCCCACTTTCATTCATTTATACAACCAAGCAGATACAGAAGAGAATAAGCCAGGTAAGGCCTCTTCTGTTTTCATGAAGAGAGACAGGCAGTAAATAATTGTGTGGTGTGTTAGGTGTCACTCAGGGGAAGGCAAGAGGGGAGAGAGGTGTTCTTAGATACAGAGTATTCAGCTTTCCCAGCGGAGGTGAGGTTGGAGTGGCCCTGAATGACGGAAAGCAGCAAGCTGTGCTGATGTTGGAGGAGGTGCGTTGGCCGGAGACGCGCGGTGTGTATGGGCAATGAGGTCGGTCTTGCTAGAGTGATGAGTGGAAGAGAGTGTTAGGGAGGAAATCGGAAGGGGCGAGAAGCGGATAATGAAGGACTTACCAGGCCAGGGTGAGGACTTTGACTGTCCCACATGAGACTGGAAGACTCAGGGGAGTTCTGAGTAGAGGAATGACATGATAGCTGTTCTAATAAGATAACTGTTCGGAGAATAGCCTGAGTGGGACAAGGGCTAAAACAACAACAGTTAGAAAGCTTTTGCAGTTGTTCAGGTAGGAGAGATGTTGACTTGGGCTGCCGTAGGCGGAGAGGAGTAGTGGTTGGGCGTGGGCTACCCTGGGTTTGGAAGTGATAGTAGTTGCTGAAGAGTTGGATGTGCAGCGTGGACAGTGGAGACCAGCTAACAGTGATGCCAGGGTTTTTGTCTTTCGTGAGGGTGTTGCCATTTTCTAAGCTGTGGACATGCAGGATACAGCAGGAGAGGAACGGGGCTTTGTGGTTTTAGTTTGGTTTAGGGATTTGTCTGTGCACACACGTGTGTGGTGTCTGGTACAGGTGTGTGGTGTGTGGTGTTTGAGTTAAGAGTGGTATGCCACCATCCTCGCATCCGTATAGGACCATTTCCCTCAACTTTTTAAGTGCCTGACTCAAACATGAACGGGCAGCCGAGGTTCTCAGATTTTGAAGAAAGCCTCCACGAGAGATAAAACGAATCAAACAAAAGGGAGTGTAAAAAAAAATAAAAAACTAGAGACTTTGGAGGGAATAGAGGAAATATAAGAAAAGAAAGGAAAAGAACACCAGAAAGTCATGATCACTATGCACAGAGAATAAATGAAAAATAATGAATCCATAGAACAAAAAACAGGACACCATAAAGAAGGAATAATCAGAACATGAAAGTTGTTGAAAATGAAAATATGAGAACTAGAAGAGAGTTTTCAGTAGAATGGCTGGAAGATAAGCTTAGTAACTCTTAAAATAGAATGAAAACCTAAGAAAATAAGAATGTCAACCTAAGAGTAACAGTGCATTATGGGGTAACCAGCCTTTAAATGGCCCCAGGCATCATCGCTTCCTTGTAACCAGGCCCTTCCTTGTGTGGTCTTCTCCTGCAACAAGTAATAGCGGATGTGTGAGCAGCAAACTGTGCCTTGACAGCATGTGACTTTGAAGGCTAGGTCATAAACGACATTGCTGCTTCTGCCTTGGTCTCTTGGATCGCTCTCAGGGAAGCTGGCTGCCATGTCATGAGGACACTCAAGGAGAGGAACTGACTTGCCGGCTTCATCTTGCCAGCCACGTGAGCGAGCCGCCTTGAAAGTGGGTCCTCCAGCCGAGGCCCAGATGCCACAGAGCAGAGATGCGGCATCTGTGAGGCTGTGCTGTCAGAATTCCCCATACCCGGGAGCTGTGAGTGTAATAAACCACCATTACATTTTTAGCCACTAAGTTTTACTGTGATTTGTTACACATCAGTAGATAACTAATACACTCACTGATTAGGGTTCTGGAAAAATTTATCAGAAAAAAATAGGGGGTAATAGAGAAAATAACCAAAAAGATACTGTAAGAAAATTTCCCAGAAGCAAAGCTATGAGTCTTCAGATTAAAGAGGCCCACATCTATACCTGAGTAAAATACAGATCCATTATGGAACAGATTATTTTGAAATTTTAGAATACAAATTAAAAAGGGAAGGTACCAGAAAGCTTCTGTAGGAAAAATAACCAATGATTATGTACCATAATTGTATGAACCTTCTCAGCAATGCTGATAGCTAGAAGACTAGGGAGTCATGCCTTACAATTCTAGGAGAAAATAATTTTCAACCGGAAACTTTTCACCCAGCCAAAATGTCAATCGAGTGTGAGGATAGGCTTGTGGCATTTTCAATATTTTCATGGCCCCTTACTTAGGAAGCTGCTGAAGGATGTGCCTCAGCAAACTGAGAAAGCCAAGTAAAAGATACAGAAGCGCTAGAGAATGAAAGAGAAGTCCTACGATCATAGTTGTACATAGTCGGACCAGTCCAGACTGCGGCAAGAACCGAGGGCAGTGGGAATGGGAGTTGGGCTTGGTGAGTGGGGAAGGAATTGATAGATGATTTGATGTGTTCGAATGATTACATCAATTATTATTAGATATAGGTCATATTTATTGGGGCTTTTGTACAAAGTAATAATAGGTCTATAGAAACTAAGAAAACAAAACAGGTATTCCAGTTTGAGAAAGGAAACGAATCATAATTCACTTAGCACTCAAGAAATATTTCTGTCATCCTAATATGTAAACTCTATTTAACTAAAAATTATGATACAACTATTTATGTATTGGGAGAAGGGATGGGGGGGCGAGTGTGGTAGTGGAAGTCCTCCACAGCTGTGATTAAGGAGCCAGTAGACAGTATCTAAAGTTAATGAAGCAAGGACATATCAGGACTCATTATCTTGAAATATGGAGATAAGTACCAGAATAAACTGCTAGAGGAGCAGAAATGTGTTGCTTTTGGAGGATGAAGATGGGTAAGGCATATAACTTTTATTTTTATGATAAACTATTAGGTATCTCCGGCCACACCACCCTGAACATGCTCGATCTTATCCTATTATAAGCCATTAGGTATTATGGCTACATTTAATAAAAACATTTTTTAACCGAGTCAATTCACTTTGTTTTTTTCTGTATAAAATTATATGGTGGGCCCTCTGCACAGGGACCCTGGGGTGGGTCTTTACAATATGGTCAGTGAATTCCTGTAGGGAGACTTGGTGAACGCAGCCTCTTTCCAGAGATCAGGGGTAAGGAACCTGTAGCTCTTAGAGGTGGCATCAGAGGTGGCCTTGGCGAAGCTGCCCAGGGTGGCCGTGCAGCCCCTGGCTAAGGTGTAGCTGTCGTCCATACCAACCATCAGTAGCAGCTTCTTGGGCACTGGGGCCGAGGCGATGCCAGTGCCCCTGGGGGTGGGGATGAGGCGCCCCAGCACAGAGCTACAGCGCCCGGTCACCTTGCAGCAGACAGTGTGGGGTTTCCCGATCTTGTCCCCCCAGTAGCCTTGCCTCATGGCGACAATAAAGAACTTGGTCAGGATGATGGCCCCACAGATGGCAGCAGCTGCTTCCTTTGAGCATTTAACACCCAGACCGACACGTCCATTGCAGTCCCCAGGGGCGACAGATGCCTTGGACTGGGTCCTCTGGTTAGTGCCTGTCTGCTTTTGCATGGGTGTACCACATCCTTGAGGGATGCCCCCCGGAAAGAGTCAATGATCTCAGATTCCTTGACAGACAGGGAGAAGAGAGAGATCTCTTCCAGGAACTTGTTCTTCATGCCCTTGACCGGGTGGCCCAGTTTGGTGACGGATCCATTCCTTGTCCTGCTTTCTTCCGTGAGCTCCGCCGGCTCGGCCCAACTCTGACCCTGGCTATGACCTTGGCCTGGATGCTGCTGCCAGATCCTCCACAGAAGCCACCTCGGACACCCAGCCTCCCGCTCCAGGGCCCTCCTGCAGCACCGGTGTCATCTGCCACTTGGTGTTTCCTCGGAGAAGGAGAAGCAATAAAAACAATCTTTAAAACCTTAAAAGAAAGCAATTCAAGCTGATGTTGATGCACCAGTAATAACATTATAATTTAACTTCCTTTCTCTTTTATTTTCTCTGTTTCATTGGTGAAGAAAGAAGCCGTAAAAAGCAAAGTGGTTTTTATTACCTCAACTTAGTGCAGGACCTGGGAATGAAAATTAGTAGTTTTTTACTCTCAAGGCAGCATTTTGGTGCTAACTGTGTAATGTAACTCATTTGCTTCTGTGTCATCCTCTTTTGTTTTATATTTTGGAAATGATTTTGAGAATTATTGCTAAGGCCTGGATAATTGCTGTTTAATTTTCTTTGGATACAGCATGACACTTTTTATTGTCAATGCACCTTAATATAATTTCCTTCATAAAGAAAGGTAAGTAGTTGTAATATAGAAAGTTGGGTTCTGTGTATGTAATAAGCTTGCATTTTTTGTTTCATAAATACTCTTGGTATTTATTATAAACAAGAATAATAAAAATAGGAACTGTTTGTTGCCCAGGCATTTTAAAGTATTTTCCTTTGTAATAAAGGAAAATGGTTTGGTAATAGAGGAAGTTGGGTTTTGTGTAATAAGTTCCAATTCTTTTTGTCTCTAAAACTGCCTTTTTTTAGGCAGTACTTTTTTTCTGGTCATAAGTAAACAAATCTTGATGTATTTGAAGTAAAATAGAAACATGAATGCTGTCATTATATAAACATGATGATCAGTCAATGGACTAGTTAATAACATTGCTTTCTTATAATTTATTAAAGTCTAAAATAATGCAAGTAAATTTAAATGGTATATTTGAAAATCCTGAAGTATGTTTATTATTTTATCTGTTTAATTCAGATGTATTTATTATCTGACCATGATTCAACAAGTTAGAAAAGATTAGAAAAAAAGTCAGATGGCAAAGCCTGAGTAGCATTTCTGTGTTTTGTCCCTGTGAAGACCGGCACACAGCCGTTTAACCGTGCAATGCTCTTCAACGTGGGCTTCAAAGAGGCCATGAAGGACAGTTTGTGGGACTGTGTAATCTTCCACGATGTGGATCACCTACCTGAAAACGACCGAAACTATTACGGATGTGGGGAAATGCCACGTCATTTTGCAGCAAAGCTGGATAAATACATGTATATGTAAGTAATGCACAATCTTCCTCATATTGTATAAAATAACGGTATCACCATTAAGTGCCTGCACCTGAGATTGTTCAAAGCCTAACGCGTGTGTTTAATTCCAACCCTTCCTCATAGGGAGCCAGGCTGTAGAGTCGTTTGTCCATCTAGGTTCTTCCTCATGCAGAGGTTTGTGTGGCGTGGCGGGAAAAGCCTGGCTTCCGCAGTCAAGCAAGTGTGGCTGTAACTTCTGGCATTCACACTGAATGGTTATAGGAGTTGATCAGTTACTTGTATCTCTGAACGCTGGTTTCCCTGTTCTTTGGAGAAACAGCGCATCCGCTGGACTGCGGTGTGATCGTGGGCGGGGCCCGCCCCGCGTAGGTGACGGCACCTGTTGTCTCCCTTCTGCTTCCCTTCTCCAGGGGCGTTTCAGTGCAGGGAAGGTCCTCTGTCCTGCAGGGTATCTGCTCTTTTCTAAGCTCTGGATTCTTGACATGGCTTTAATAATACACACATTTTTTCATTCTCTGACTGGAGATACCTTGAAGTGTAAACAGTCATTGGAGCTGTGACAGTAACTTTTTATTTTTTATGTTTTCAATTACCATTTACATTCAGTATTATTTTGTATTAGTTTCAGGTGTACAGCACGGTGGTTAGACAGTCACATACTTTACAGGGTGTTCCCCCTGGTATTTCCAGGACCCACCTGACACCATACACAGTTATTACAATATTACTGACTGTATTCCCTGTGCTACACTTTGTATCCCCATGACTATCCTGTAACTGCCAGTCTGTACTTCTCTGCCCCATCAGTGTTTTCACACAGTCTCCCCACCCTCTTCCCTCTGGCAACCACCAGACTGTTCTCTGTCAATGAGTCTGTTTCTGCTTTGTTTGTTTATATTATTCTTTGTATTCCACATATAAGTGCTATTTGTCTTTCTCTGACTGACATATTTTGCTTAGTATAATATCCTCTAGGTCCATTCATGCTGTCATAAATGGTAAGGTTTCATCCTTTTTATGGCCAAGTAATATTCCATTGCATATATGTACCACAGCTTTTTTTATCCACCTCTCTACGGATAGGCACTTGGGTTGCTTCTGTGTCTTGGCTATTGTAAATAACGCTGTAATGAACAAAAGAGTGCATATATTATTTCGAGCTAGTGTTCTGGGTTTCTTTGGATATATACCAGAAGTGAAATCACTGTGTCATAAGGCAGTTCCATGGTCAGTTTTTTTAGGAACCTCCATACTGTTTTCCACAGTGGCTGCACCAACCTGCAGTTCCACCAACAGTGCACTAGGGTTCACTTTTCTCCACCTTCTCACCAACACTTGTTGTTTGTTGTTTTATTTGCATTTCTTTGATGATTAGTGGTGATGAGCATCTTTTCATATGTCTATTGGTCATCTGTATGTCCTCTTTGGAGAAGTGTCTATTCAGGTCCTTTGCCCATGTTTTAATTGAATTGTTTGTTTGTTTTGGTGTTGAGTTATATGAGTTCTTTATAAATTTTGGATATTGACTCCTTATCAGATGTATTGGCAGATATGTTGTCCCATTCCTTGGGAGGCTGGGACAGTGACCTAAATTGACATTAAAACATGTAAGTGTGATTTAGGAAAGAGATGGTGTCTTTCATTGGCTAATGGAGTTGGAAAGGAGAGAAAATAGCCTGGAGCAGGGGTGGTGATTCCTCTGTGACTGCTTAGCCGGCTGCCTGATCTGCAGAGCAGAGAGAGGCAGTGGCGCGACTAGGTGAATCAGCACTAAAACAGGAAAAGAACGGCTTCTTCTTGTTTTGCTGGCGGTTCTCATCATTAGAGAACCTTTTCCTCAACACCACAGTGTCTGAACTCTAACTCTGGCACTACTTTGGGAAAGTAATTCAGGTTTAGGATCTGGTTCTTAGCACTCCTGGAAACAATTTTGGTCAGCCTGCTAGAGTCAAGTTAGAGTCAATGTAGTTCATTTTCACTTAAAGATATCATAAAGATCATAAAACATCATAAAAAGATAATTCTAAATTTCTTTTTATTTCAAAACATTGATTTCGTATGAGTAAAATACTCCTATCTACCTCGACTAATCCTAGGGTGGGCAGGGTATATTGGAAGTTGGGATGGAAATTAGAATGCTAGCGTAGGGAGAGAGCAGCAGGTCAGGGAGTGGCGGGGCGGAGCAGACTTCAGCCAGGCACGAAGCCTGACGGGGCGTCCCTGCCCAGCAACAACGGCTGCACCCCTGTGGCTGCCGACCAGAAAGCTCAGGTCCCCAGATTGGCGTCCTTCCCCTGTGGACAATGTAAGGTAAACACTACTACAGAGTTTCTTGTTTGAACTTCTGTTTTCTATTTTTTAGTTTAGTTATTGCTTTCATTTTATCTAATCTTTTCATTCTCTGTATAGGCCAATTGATTGTTTCCACTTTAGCCGAACAAGAAATGGAATTAATGTGCTTGCCAACTTAGACATGTCAATAAACACAGACACACACACACACACACACACGTATCTACTTATCTACTGATCTCAGGATTCTCCCAAACCACCAGCCTGGACAAGAATAATCCAACCTGCCCTGGCCGGGTGGCTCAGTTGGTTGGAACGTCATCTTGTACACCGAAAGACTGTGGGTTTGATTCCCCGTCAGGGCAGGAATGAGAGGCAACCAATCGTTGTTTTTCTTTGCATCAATGTTTCTCTCTCTCATCTCCCTCTCTCCCTTCCTCTCTCTCTGAAATCAATCCATGCACGTCCTTGGGTAAGGATTTAAAAAAATAATAATCCAACTGGTGTAGGAAACACCAGTTGCTTAACCACACCATGAATGCTTATTGACCCTCTTGAATCCCAACCAGTGGTATTACGTGAATCCATATTTCCTAAATGGGACCCTCATGAGGCCTCCTGGGACACTACGGTTGTCTTTGGGGTACAGATTGCTGTTACTGTCTTGTGCCTTTGGCCAAGGGTAGAGCCGAGGCTGCTTTTTCCTGCAACCCTGGAGTTCCATGTAGGAGCTGCCTGTCCCATCTTCTGTGGCCACACAAGATCCCAGCTGGCAGATAGCTCTTCTTCCCCACAGGGAATGAGGCAGGAGCTTCTCTTCAACAAAAAAGGGAAGTCTGCTTCTTCCCTCTCTCTGAGGCAGCTGTGCTATAGTCGCGGCCAGGTTTCCTTCAGCTTGATTTTCGGGTGCTGGGCACGGTTGTGTTTTCTCTCCCGGCCCTCCACAGTGGCCAGGCTTTTTTAGGGGCTCTAGCGCGCTACTCCCCAACAAGACTCATTCAGGTCTGCAGGGCTGAGGGTGCTACCTCTACATCAGAAATCCGTTTTATATCTAAACAAATAATTTAGTTTGACAAATTCCTTGGAGTATGATTTAGGGAAAGGTAAGGAAACTAACATCCAAATTTAAAAACATACTCATTATCAGAGAAAGACAAATACTGTATGATTTCACTTCTGTGTAGAATCTAAAAAAGCACCTCATAAATACAGAGAACAGGCTGCTGGTTGCTAGAGCTGAGGTGAGAAGGGCAGGTGAAATGGGTGAAGGTGGTCAAAGGCACAGGCTTCCTGTTATAAGGTAAGTAAGTGCCAGCATGTAATCTACAGCGTGGTAACTGTAGTTAGCAATACTCGATTGGAAGTTTGAAAGTTGCTGAGAGAGTAGATCCTAAAAGCTCTCATCACAAGGAAAAAGAATTGTCTAACTATGTATGGTTACACATATCAGCCAGACTTATTTTGGTAATTATTTCACAACATGTACATATATCCAGTCATGATGTTGTACGTCCAAAACTAATGCAATGTTATAATGATATGTCAGTTATATCTCAATACAAAGTCATTTCTCTAAATATCAGTACATTAAAAATAAATGTATTTGTAACTATTCATGAGAATTTTGGGAGTATAATGCAAACAGGTATATTATAGGAATAGGCAGCTTGTCATTATCTTAGACATGTCTTTACTAATATGCATTTATACTGGTCTGTATAATAAATAGTGTGTTTGTAATAAGTTCTATTAATCTAGAAAATTTTATTACCTTAGCAGCATCTAAGGTTGCATTGACAGCTATTGATGGGTTTAATTAAGTTTACTTTGCTGTAACAATAAACAATTTTGAACACTGGGTTTTGAGTATTACAAAGTAACAATACTAAGTATTAAATTTAAATTGCCACAAGTGTTGTATTTCATGTTTTACATAACACATTTAGATGTACTTGTTTCCCTAGAATATAAAAATATTTTGTTTCGTGGATTATGTTTCTCAGGATATGGTTTAATCAACATAATTACACATTTGGAAAATAGAGGTATATTTTGCAAGGCACATAAAAGACTGGAAATGATTTCATGTGGCAAACTTTTGATTTTATTTTTTGGATGCCCTGTTCTGCTTTCTTTTTAGTCTTCCCTATAAAGAGTTTTTTGGTGGTGTCAGTGGACTGACAGTGGAGCAGTTTAGAAAGATCAACGGTTTTCCTAATGCCTTCTGGGGATGGGGAGGAGAAGACGATGACCTTTGGAATAGGTAGGTTGAGGCACAAATTGCTTAAAAACAGAATTTCTGTAAATTCCCTTTCTATAAGGTAAATTGTACTTTGCGATTCCAAGAAAAGATTCTTTGGGGTGGAAAATTTTTGAGATTCCTAAATTCTACTTCTTGTTTCTCCTTTTTTTTGTTTTCACTAAAAGCGCCTTCTGAAATTATTGATGACACACACATTAAAGCATTCCTTTGCATTTTAAATTGAATTAATTATTTTCAATGTTTATGTCAGATTTTATTTCTTTATATTCTCTATTTCCATATGTTGTAGAGTTCACTATGCTGGATATAATGTAACAAGACCAGAGGGAGACTTGGGGAAATACAAATCTATTCCTCATCATCATCGAGGAGAAGTCCAGTTTTTAGGACGGTAAGTTTAAAATCTTCTTTAGAGACTAAGGTTTCAAAATTATTTAATATGTGAAAGATTTAAAATAGACACTGCACCCAAAAAAATCTTCTGAAGGGAATTTTCTGTCCATATCATTTTTTAGAAGTAAAGCATTTTTGTGCTTGTTTTGAAGAGATATACATATATCTGCGTATATACATATTCATGTTATATTAAAGAGTCCAGTTAACTCTTTCTATAAAAAGTGTTTTCTTAACACATAATACATTTTATGTCTTAAGGATGTCCAAGTCATAAAGGTGCAGAATAATTTTTTCAGGTGACACTTAAGACACATAAAAATGCTAATTTATAAAAATGATTTAGAGAAATTTTTAATTGTGAGAACTAAAAATTGTAAAGAGCATTAAATGCTTTAATTTATAAGAATGACCTTGAGCGTATTCCCTATTAATTTTTCTTTTTGGCCATGTTTGTTACTTTTTTTCCCCTCTAACACTACAGGTATAAATTGCTACGGTATTCAAAAGAGCGCCAGTACATTGATGGGTTGAACAATTTAATATACATGCCAAAAGTACTGGTTGATAGGTTGTATACAAATATATCTGTAAACCTCATGCCAGAGTTAGCTCCGATTGAAGACTATTAAAGAAGTCGCTCTAATGGCAAGGTAGACCGCAATGCTGGATCCTAAACTTAGAATGCACTCTTAATAGAGGCCAGTGAATGGATGTGTCACGGTGCCCAGTTCTGTAGAAGAGCCAGCCGCCCTCAGCGATCAGTGAGTGGGATCATGTTCGGCCAGCCCGCGCCTGCTGCCCTCTGCTCTGGGACACACCCCTATGGCCAGTGCCACAGCGGCCGGATGCCATGGGAGTTAGGAGCTCCCTGCAAAGAAAAGATTTTTATACTGAAATCTATAATTTAATTCAAGAGAATGCTTTATTTCTGGTTAAACATATTTTGTACATATGTGATGTAAATTAATGTGTTTAAATTGTTGAAAAATAAGATGTGTTACAGTTTTGCATGTAATTGGTTATGCCATTATTGGACTTTTATAGACATTTTTTTATTTGCATGGGAAAAAAACCAATGTAAATTTATGTCACTGAAAAAAAAGGTTAACCCTTGTGTGAAATGAAGGAACTGTCAATAATTGACAGCCAACTAATACAGTAAACTGTTACACTAGTTTTGAGCTTTAGACTTTCAGCCTTCTGTGTGAAAGAAGTCACAGCTTTCTTAGGGTCATAAAGGGTAGAAAAAACAGCTTAAACAGCTTTTTTTTTCCCACCAGGATTATCTATAATTTTCCTTGCTTGCAATCTCATCAGATTTTGCTAAATCACAACCATGATGTTTATGCATATTGCATGAGTATTACCAAGAAAATCTTAAAAGTTGTGACGTGACAAGATATAAAGGACCTCTTCATGTTAAATGTCTTTCATGTACCTCTGGTGTGTCAGGGATTTTGTGCCTCAAAAAATGTCCCTAACGTTGTATGTATTTGTACATTGTCTTTTTTTTGTTTGTTTTAGTTAATAGTGAACAGCACTTTTATTATTTTGAGTTCAGAAGAGCCAAAAAATTTTTTTATTTAAAAAAATATCAAAACAATTTTTTAGAAGAATGAGTTATATGGAAAACCCAATAGTACTTATAATATACAAATAAATTATACTATTAGATAAAAAATTAAATGTTCTATTTTTATGAAGATAAATGCTTAGTAGATAAAAGTAAATTTTAAGTTCAGTTCTCAGACTCACAGAATATCAAGTTTAGAGGGGATTCTTTTTAATGTTGGCCAATTTCCTTCAAACTATTTTTTCATTTTTAAGTAATTATATTTCCAGTGATAATTATTAAAATTTCCTCACTAAAAACATAATTTAATAAAAGTATATTATAATACATAATCAGTTATTTAAATACATTGATATTATAATGCCCTTCTCAGAAAACAAGTCTTACTACCTGACATCGAGTACATTACTTTATCTTAAATTTGGATGAAGTTTTTATGGCAAAACCGAACAATATTTTTACTTTAAAAATCATCAATTATTGTTAACCAAAGATTCTTTAAAATATCTTAGGTATTTTCACAAATTTAAAACAAAATTGTTTATCTATATAGTGAATCTTGAGTAACAATGAAGAACAATAAAAGGCTGTATTTGAGAGATGTTTGGATAACATTTGCCTCATGGATTGTTCACCTAAAACAGAAATACGGTTATTTATTTCAGGTTGTAAGTTTAATTTTTGAAGTTGGCATTTTCTATGACAACATTGGTAACGCAAATGACCACACACCAAATCACAAAATGTTTCAAATTCTCGTACTTTGAGAAAACTGATAGCTTTCTGTTATAATACCAAACAGAATTTTTCCACTTTTTTCCTTAGAAATATTTCCAAAATATTTATCCCTAATATTTTTTGCTTATACTGAAAATAATGAAAAATCAAACCTTCTGAAAAGTAAATTTGTTCTTAATTTGTCTTTGTTCATTTTCTGTCTCTCATAGTCAGTGTAGTTTTCTAATTCAGTGTAATGAAAGAAAGTAAATTGGGAAAGTTACCATTTGTTGTTTGCTAATAAGATAGTAGGGGCATAGGAGCATAATTCATTCATGAAATAATTAAGTATTTTAGTTGTGGGGAAAATCAGGGCTGTCTCAGAGTTTTATTAGGAAAACATACTTTTTTTAATATGTAGACCTCCCCACATATTGGAATCTTTTCATTTGATATACCTTGTACGATTTTAAGAGAACTCAATCCTACTAGTATCTGCCTTTTTTGGGGGGGGGGGGATTAAAAATCTAATAGTAATTTTTGTTTTAGGTGTGGGCCATGAATATTTTGCTTTTTTCAGTTTTTACTATTCTATGTCATTCTGTGAAAATCATCATATTAGTTTGTTTTTTGTTTTTTTGTCTTTTGTTTTTAACTGCAAACTTAAAATTGATTTTTGCCGATAGTGACTTACATGTTTCAATAAATGTGACAGTTTTGCCCAATTATATTTATTGCGTGATAATAAATCTATTTCATAAAAACTAACAAATATATGGCAAATTCAGACTATCTCTTTTTTGATAGTTTTGTTTAGTGGGTATATTAGTGAACATGTATTCTTGCCTACTCTATCAGGTGTGATGCTAGATATGTCTATGGAGAAAGTATTACTTCATTTCCAAACAAATCAAGTCAAGCAAGTGGAAACCCTTCTAAAATTATGAAGTCATCTTCTGATAACTTATTCATTGTATTTCTTAGTCTCAAAATCAAGAAACATATATATGTGGATATGAAGCTATTACAAAGCCCCTTAGGCACTACTGGGAAAGTTATATGGTGCCTTTCAGTTAGAGAAAGTAATAATGATTAATGGACCTATTTGTAGAAAAAGGAAAAGTGTTCATATTTGCAGTAACATTATGTCTAAACTGTGGTGCGAGATAGTCATTTAAACCTTCGCAAAAAACCTAGGGTTTAAGGAATATTTTTTTAAATCTAAATTTAAATTTGTTTCTACTTTGTGAAAAGGTATTCAGTAAGAAAACATTGCTTACAATATTATGTAAGTACAAAATTACATATTAAAAACTTGTTTATACTTCTTTCCCAGCCAAGAGATTGCTATCCACTTTAAAACAGAATGGAAAACTATGTAAAACAATATTCTCCCTCTTTTGGAGGCTCCCTATGAGTAAAGGCATTTTATGTCATTTTATTTGGCATTTGCTTGTCTTTGCTCTATTTCTTCATGTATTTTCTTTTTAGACAAACATTAGCACTCTAGATTTATTGCCTTGTATTTGCAAGTATGCCAATGAAAGAACTAAAATGGCCACAGTGGTGTTTATCAGAAAGAGGGAGTGTACTTCAGATGAGTGTATTAAGATCTGAAATGCTTTTACATAAATGCACTGAAATAAATGCTAGTAATTTCTCGTATTATCATTTTTTTTTCTTTTTGCTTCTCATGGAAATGTTTGTACTTTTTTATCATTGTCTTTTATGAAATAAAATGTTCTAAAGACTTTGTGTGACAATGTAATTATTTTCTCTCGGGAACTTTTATGGGGTTGTCTGGGTTTTTCATTGTTGTTGAGTTTGTTTTCCTAAATTTCAAGTGAATAGTTGATGAAAACCTTGGTTGCATGAGGATTGCAATGTAAGCAATAAGACTAGCATGGCATCTGTCTTTGCAACAGTTTCAGTTAAATACACTGAGAGATCACCGTATAGCTTTTTCCTCAAAAGAAACAGTAATACTTAAGTATTTGTCCTAAATACAATTAGTAATCTATTGTATCAAGATTCAAGAAATAACTTTCAGCATTACATTTCTTCTCCCCATACAACTTCAGTAAACTAAACTGGTGTTATGGCCAAGTCCCTTCTTGTTTTTTAGGTACCAAGTAGTATTGAAGATCTGGAAGGCAAAGAGGCAAATCTCAAAAATTCCTAGAAACTAGATTTGTATTTGGGCTAAATTGTGAGATCATGATTTTTTTCAAATTATTTGTGTAATGAATTTTAAGTATTATTAATTTTTATACATATTATGAGCTATCAGAATATTACCACTATGTATCACAAATAAAGCCACTCATTAAATCACACTCATTTAGGCGTTTAAATGATGCAAAGCCATAAAATTGGGTCGGCCTAGTTGGCCCCAGGTTCTCACCTATGGTAGTAATGTGTCCAATGATGAAACGTGACTCAATTTAATGATCTTGTGTATATATTTTTTGCATTGTTTTTAAACACCTGGATTTAAGGTGGAGGAGGTATTCTGGACCAACATTGTTTTAGTAAAGGAAGTCTCTTAAGGAGAATGCACTATATTGATCTTGGTTTAAGTGACTTTAGTGAGGATAGTACTGTTGGGTTGGCCAAAAAGTCCATGTGGTATTTTTTCCATAAAATAACACATTTTTCATTTTCACCAATAACTTGATTGATTTGGATATTTTGAGTGTGTGTGTTGGCTATCTCCCGAGTGGTATAATGTTGATTATTTTAAATTAATGTCTTGATTTGATCACTATCAATTTAATTGCTCTCCCCTACCATGGAGCATTGTCCAGTCCAGCGAGAAATGTCCAGCATGAAACTTCGCAAACCGCTTTTGACACATTCAGTCTGTCACTGCACCTTCTCCACACCCTGCACAAATCTTGGTTTTGCATTTCAGTTGGATTTTTGCCTTTATTGAAATAATAAAGAATAAATGCCAAAAATGTTGCTCATTTTCTTCCATCTTCAATATTAAAATGGCTACACAAAAAATTCACCAATTTTGATGTTTTTTTATCCACGCTGATATGACAGCTATCAACACAATCTGACAACATTGTTTTGAATGAAGTTAAAGACAACTAAACACTACTAGAGTCAAAGTATGGAAAAAACTGAACAAACATTTTGTCCAACACAATCTCTCTCTCAAAACTATACTACTATTAAAAGAAAAACATATGGGTTTAAAAGTAAAACATATCTATCACAACACATTCCTATAACATATTGTAGTGAACCTGAATTTCCTTGCTCATTTAACCTTCCCAATTTTATCAGTTGAAGTCTGCGCTTGGGAGGATCTCCAAGAGGGTATCAGTACCTACCCTCAGGGAGTTTACTGTCTTCTGCATGTAAAACAAGTGGAAACTGAACCCACATCCTATGAGGTGAGGAGCTCAATTGTGGCCTCTTCAAACACTGGTTTTATATTTCATTAACACAATGTTTGGCCACTACAGCAGCTTCGTGGGAGCTGCTTTTCTCCAGACAGAATAGCTCTCAGCGTAAGCACTGTATAGTGCTTCAGAAGGGTCGTTGAGATCACGGTGCTCCTGCTTCAGACCTTGAAGCTTTGCAGTTAATGTCTAGGAGGGCTGTGTGGAAGGTGGTGGTTATAAGCAGAGACTGGGGAATTAGCCTGATCTGAGTTTGAACTTAAGGATCCACTGTCATTAGCTGCGAAGTTTCAGCAAAACTATAAACCCCTATGGTCCTAAGTTTGATTTCTCAACTGAGGATGAGAGGAACTACCCAAGGATTGGGTATGGATTGGGTAAGGTTGAAATGATTAAGCTAATCTTCATAAGAGGCTCACACTCACTGTAAAAACTTGGCTCAGATTAAGTCAGTTTTCAGCTTTAGAGTAACAGTCTTTTCTTTCATGCAAAATGTCTCGTATCATAAAGTGATACTGCATTCTTTAATTGTAGGACATGAAGTCAGTTTTACCTTATATATTACATAATAATGCATGTAAACAATTAGTAAGACTGGCAAAAGTGCAGTTATAAATAATTCAGCATAGTCATGAGAAGTGTGGTAAATGGGAATCACTGTTTTCCCAGAGGGTTGTGTGTCTTTAGGTAGATGACGTGGAAAGCATCTACCCCACTCCTTAGTTCCCGGAGGGCATTCAGTCACTTGTCCCTTCCCAGTATCAGAGGCGATGTAGTGATTGTCCACACGGGCCTACGCGCCTGCTTTTTGTCTCCCACCTTGGCTTTTGGGTTTGGCTCTTTCACCCATCCTCGATGTGCCTGGGAGACTCTTCCTCTGACATCTGTTCTTTTTCTCTTCTCATCAATAATTCACTTCCTACGACCATGTTCTAGCCTCGTCCAATGAATGTTCTGTGATGACGGGAATGCGCTATGATGGTGCTGCCCAATATCGTCACTAGCGTCACATGGCTCTTACACATTTGAAATATGAATAGGGAAAATAAGGACCTAGATCTTTAATTTTTGAACTTCAAATAAGTTTAAATAGATACAGCGGGTGACCTCTTGTATGCCAAACTTGAACTACACGGTCCCCCTGGCTATATGCTGGAGACTCCCAAGCTGTGTCTCCAGCTCACGATTCTTGGTTCCTGAACCACATGATCAACTTAATGGTCAGCTCCACCTGCTTGTCCTAACTGAATTTATCATATCCCCTTTCAAAACCTAATCTTTCTCCTGCTGTACCATCTACTTAGTGAGTAACGCAAGGACAAATCTGTGAGACCGCCATCCTCTCGGCACAGTCAACATTAACTGCACCTCATAACGTCTCCGATCCATCTGGCCTTCTGTTTCTACAACTACATGGATCCACCCAGATCTTTCTTTTTTTCTTTTTTTGAACTTCAATGTTCATATTTATTTATTTTTGGCAGTAAACTGAGGTACTATATTTTTTCCCATTACCATTTAGTCACTTTCTACCCCTTTCCCCCCAGCAATCACCACACTGTTGTCCAGGCCCATGAGTCCTTCGTCCTCTCCCAGTGTTTTCTTAACTGCAAAGGTGTGTTATCTTCTTTGAATTCATCTTCCATATGGCCAAGGAAATTGCGTCTCTTGAAATACTACCTTAAAATCTTTCAGTGGGACCTGCAGGATGAGGTCCATGTATTTCTGCTTCTCATGCCAGGTCCTCGACGCCCTGACTTCTGCTTTCCTCTCCAGGACCAGCACCTCACCCTTCATTCTTACCGCGCCCTGTTAGTTCTCCGGCCGCCTGTGAACTACTCCCAGTGGCCAGCATCATGCCCTTTGTCTTTGCACGCCGTCTTTTTTATCCTCATCCCCCAAAGGATCTACTGTGTACCTTAAGACTCCATACGCTCTTCTGGAACTCTTTGGCCAACCCAAGTAAAATTTGCTGCTCTTTACCTTGCACACCTGCCCTTCATGGACTGTTACGGTATGTCTTATACTATTACATTTATGTGTTTGCCCATTTTTTTCTCCCAAAGAGTCTTAGCTCTTTGAGAGCAGTGGTGTGTGCCATTCGTTTTTGTACCCCAGTATCTAGCACAGGGCTCGATGGGTGAATGATCCTGGCAGGGGAGCGCTGTTTGCCATCTAGCAGGAAAGAACACTCCATAGCGTTCTAAACTACTGTCCTATTGATGCATGTATGCCACAGCTACTTATTGAACCATATTACGTGGGATCAGTGCCTTGATTGTGACTATTAAGGGTCATCATCAAAATGGGTTTGGGCCCACACACAAGTATATCTGAATAGAGAGCCAGGCTCATTTTTTTATTCAATGTAATTTTAAAATTTAAAAATATTTACTAAGCTTTAGAAAAAATTAATTATAGATTAGTGTGTAAAAGGAAAAACAGAGCGTAGTTAAGAATTCACTGCCAAGGTCATTTTTATTAAATAAAAATCATACATGGAAAGTGAAAGTCACCCTACAAAAATAAATGTCACAAGACACTAAGATGATGCTGAAAGAGTTTGAGAGCAGATGCTGAAACATCTGTTTGACTTATCAAAGTGAAGGTGTTGTTTTACCTCTGCAACATAATTTATGTCTGAGCTAGTTTTAAAAATATATCTGGTTTATGTCCAAGGATGATTCTGACTTTTTATTACACAGTCCTTCCTCCCCACCCTTCCCTCACCTGCTCTTCCCTGTCTGTCCTTCTCTTCCACCACCGTGGTTAGAATCAGAAAAAATCATGCTGGCTATTAGTTCTCTTGGACTCTGAGATCCTTTGAGTGCTTCTGTTCTGGCAGAACAGGGTTGCTATGGAAACCAGACTTCCCCTTCATTAGGCTCTCATCCCTTGACCTTGTATAAATGTCATTTTGCATAGGGTGATTATGTAGTCTTTTAAGCTGTCTAGCAACTTCCAGCAGCTTTGTCTTCAGCATCCTTAACCCCCATATTTATGGACATTTATTAAGCACCTACTGTGTTCTGGGCACTGTGCTGTGTGTTAGGAGTATGTGGGGTGGGGGAGGCCGATAGAGTTCATCTTAACTTGTCTCAGGCTTCCCTTTTGGAGAAGAGACAGGTATATTTAAAAGGTGTCTGCTTACTGGTATGCACTTTTCTTGGTTCTTAGGTTCCAGAGAGCAGGCTTTTCTTGGGGCGGAGGGGCTTCCTTTGTCTTTTGGTCTGCTTCTGATGGCATTCTGGGTTGCAGAGGTTT